CAAGCTCTCACCAGAATAGACCAGTATGTACTCATCCAAGCACACAAACTGCACCCCTACGTGATAAACAAGACGCAAATGTTCCACTCTATTCTCATCTATTATCATGTATTGTTCTCATAAAGGTGAGAACCGTGGCAAGATTCAGCCATCCTCTAAGTGTTAGTAGGGAAAAACTGTCAGGTATTGTGTGCAGTTAATTTCCATCAGTATGGCAGGTTTCATTATAAGGATATTTGCTATGCAAATCTGAGGGAACTGTGTGTACCTTCCTTACTGCAGGCAGGTATTTTACTTCCTGGCTGCAGGGCCAAGGCAGTGTGTAATGTTTACACTGCTCTATGACACACAGCTACTTTGTTTTGCCCACAAATTTCAAGACTCCACAGACAATGTGAAAAAGAAAATCTGGTGAAAAATATAAAATCATTATGAAGTAGCTGCATGTTAACCTGCTGTACAATATCTTAGAAGTATGGATCGACTGTCACGTGCTGCTTGGTTCAGCATGAATGCATGTTGGGACATTGTTAGTGGAGAAAAAAAGAACTGTATCATTTTTGCTTCACCTGTGGCTTTAATAAATGCAGTCTCTTCCTACAGTTGAGGTTCAATTCAACCACTCTCTATCTTTTTCCATGTAAACTTGCAACCTAAAATTTATCAGGAAATTTTTTAAAAGAAAAAAAGGTCTGTCTTTCAAAAAACGAAACAATTTTCTAAGCTAATATCTCAGATAAATCACGCAGCCAAGATATATGTTGCTACTGAAACATATATCAGGTGATAAGTAAACAAAAAAATGCTTAAAGATGTAGTATGTGGGATTTAGTGGAATCTAGAGGTTGCAGAACTTGAACTTCTACCATGTGCTGAGCATGTAGGTGGTACAACAACACAAATGTATGTATCTGGAGACAGGGTTTGGTTTGGGCGTTCTGGGCTACTGTAGAAACAACATGGTGGACTCATAGACTGTAAAAATAATGGATGTAGCTACCATGATGTTAACCATAGGTTTGTAGACCTCCATTTAGAAGCCTCAAATTCGGCATTGCGGCTGTGGCCATCTTGGTTTTTTGGAGCCAGTAGTGACCATATTTGAGAGGCTGAAGCTGTGGAGGAGCGAGAGGTGGACTCTATTGGCAAATGGTTGACGCAAATTTTCATAGTGGCCAAACAGTGGTAATGAAACTCCTGGGTCCATCACGTTTTGCCATTGGGCCCAAAAAAAACCCTCCTTCCCACTGACTTACACTGGGAAAAAGACGTTGGTAAATCTGTAGATACATTGTTTTGAGCGTCACAACCTGACTCCAACCTGACTTGTTCCACTATCAGGATTTCATTAATTCGGTCTGATAACATTTTCAATGTCTAAAAGAGCCACTAGATTAAATCATTTTATCTCCATTCAAGTTACTGGAGTGCTAAACGTGATGTATCTGGCTCGGCTGACAGAAGTCTCTAATGCGCCTGCTCTATAGGCCCCATGTTGCAGAAGCGGCGCCAATCATCTGGGATAGGAATGAACAGGGTCCTGCCCTCAGTGCTGTATCCAGGTCTCTCAACACATCCATGGGATTGACTGGACTCCGGAGCCAGTGTCAAGTGGCCCCTCAAAGAACTGCAATTTTTTGAACTTCCGTGTTGGCTTAATTTTTCAGCCCTAGAGGTGGCAGCTTAGGCCGACTCTATGGAAAAGAACCTGTTCCATATATAGGCCTCTGATGTAAGTGGCTCATTATAAGGTAATGAAAACACAAAGATTCTTGTTTTCAGGTGATCATAAACTAATAAAAACATACTTATGAAGATTATACACAATTTCTGCCAGCAGATGGCCCTAAATCCTTCACACTGCACCTTTAAAATATGTTTGCATATTAATGATTTATGTGGCACAAATCAGTGAATTCCCATCTACTAAAACACAATACTGTAGCAACTTAAATCAAGGCTCATCTTCAAGTGGTAAGAAATTTGAAGAGGACCTATACTCTGGAATGACAGTCTCCACTTCATTAAAACCTGTCCATCATTACTCTCATTTAAATCTTATCTGAAAAAACACCCGTGCCATAGTTAATGTATCAGTTTATGTTTAAAATAATTAGTTACTGTTTAATCACATCTTGTGTGCTAATAAAATTCAAATTAAAATATGAGTTGATTTTGTATTTAGTTGAGAAATAATTGTATCTTATCGTATCTTATCTTATCCTCATTAAGACCCTATATGCCAAACAGAAAAACTGACTGACAGCCTCTAATCTTAAAAATATTATCAAACTGATCGCTGACAAGATTAACCAATTAACTATTTTGATTTGTTGATTGACATTTTCAGACATTTGTTGAGCAAAACAGCAGTTGATGCCAAATTTCAAACTTCTAACATGAGTATTATTTGCTTTTCTTTATCATATATGATAACAAGCTGAATATCTTTGATCAAAATGGGCATTTTCACTATTTTCTGATATTTCACAGACCAACAATCAACTGAGACAATGATCAGCAGATTAATGATTATGAAAATATTGGTTAACTGCAGCCTTAAAACTGTTAACTACTGCAGGGCTGTTGTGTTTCTGTTATTTTGTCCACAAAATGAAAAATATTGGAAACGTTCCTTTATCAAACAGTCCACTGTGGTGAATATTAACAAACCAATTAACTATTTTGATTATTGGTTAACAGACTCATACATTTTTTGAGCAAAAAGAGCGCTCAATATCAAATTTAAAACATTAAACACAGTATTATCTGCTTTTCTTTTTCATATATGATGGCAAGCTGAATATCTTTTTCTGATATTTAACAATTAATCAATTAATCTGGACAATGATCAGCAGATTAATAATAATAATAAAAATATTTGTTAGCTGCAGCTTTTCAAGTTCTTTTATTTTGACCACAATGTGTATTAAAGGTTTAAAAATGAAAAATATTGGAAACTTCCCTTTATCAAACAGTCCACTGTGGTGAATATTAACTAACCAATTAACTATTTTGATTATTGATCAACAGATTCATACATTTTGAAGCAAAAAGCAGCAGTGGACATTAAATTCCAAACGTCTCACATGAGTATTATCTGCTTTCCTTTATCACATATGATAGCAAGCTGAATATATTTGATCAAAATGGGCATTTTCACCATTTTCTGACATTTAACCGACCAACAATCAACCGAGACAATGATTAGCAAATTAATAATAATAATAATAATAATTCTATTTGAACTTCTGTTATTTTGTCCACAATGTGTATTAAAGGTTTAAAAATGAAAAAATATTGGAAACTTCCCTTTATCAAAGAGTCCACTGTGATGAATATTAACTAGACATTTTAACAGGTGATTTTCCATTTGAACACACAGACCGTGTCATGTCAGGAAATGGTTCTTCTGCTCGACATATTTAATCATATTTCAATATATATCCAGTCCTGTTTTATTTTTATTTCAGTTTCTTAAAGATGTTGATGTGTATGGAGCCCCCCCCCCCCGACAAAGAGCACCGGTGTTTTGACACCACTAACGGCAGCCCCGGCTCAGACAGTCCAGATCCGGACTGTGCTGCTTGTGTTAGCAGGAATCCGCTCCGGGTTTTCCCTCAGACCATGTGTGGCCCAGCTGAGGTGACTGGCAGGACTTGTTTACTGGCGGAGAGACTCGCAGAAAGAGAGACGGAAAGAGGGGGAACCTGAGGGAGAGCAACCGCTAAACGGAACGGGAATCCAAGTTTTTACACTTGACCCGTCTTTTTAAGTCTTTTTATGTTTGTTTACCTCATCGTTTTTTGACTACCGGAGACGGGATACTGACTTTGTCTGCGTGTATGTGTGTGTTTTTTTTAATTTTTAACTCTATCGCCGACACTGAAACCTCGTTTGTTTTGGATTAGCTAGCTAACGTTAGCTGTTTTTCCCCAGCAGCTAACGTTAATCTGAGAAAAAGAAACGGGCGGCGTGGTGGAGAGTTTTCTCACTTCCCTAGCAACGTGCAGGTTTAACGGAGCCGTTATTTTACCGTTTTTTCTTCCTCCTCCTTCAACGGCGGATGGGAAACAAGTAACGTTTTCCTCCCCAAGTTTCCCTTCTTTGTTTTCTTTCTCCCGTTTTGTCGTTTTATGGGTGTTCATTCGTTTGCGGCGTGGTGGTCAGCGGGGGTGAAGGAGTTCAGAGGAAGGTCGTAGTGGGGAAAGCTGTGTGTCGCTGCACGTTTTTCCTGCACGTAGCTGCTCGGAGGAGTTTCCTGGGATGTGCTCGCATCTGTCTTAAAAAGGGTGAGCTCCTGAGACCATACAAGCAAACAGGGGGTGTTATAAAGACCTGTGGACTTCAAAGGAGAAAGCGCAAAGCTCGCCAACTCCCGTTCTTGGCTCTGCGTTTGGCGATATCCATAACTTCAGCTCATGTCTGCTGGAGGAGCACAAGAGGAGGCTGCTTTTTAACGAAAGGAAAAATACTTCTCAGCAGTTGCTTTTTGAAGTGGGTCTTCCCTCATTTGGAGCTGTGCATTACAGAGAAATGAGCCTGGGGCCAGTGGACCTCCTTCGGGGACCTCCAACACCAGCCCCCCTTCCACGCGTGTAGGATATTAATAATAATAGTTATTTCTCTCTTGATTCACTGGAGCACCAAAATCAAACAGATGAACGTGGACTGTCGCCTTCACTTATGGAAAATGAAGATCTTTACTCGCACATGTGTTGCCAGAACCCAAGATCACGTTATTTAGTGGTCTGCATTTTTTCCAGGGCTCACATATATCACAAACTTGGCTGGGAAGATACTCATAAATTTACTACTCCCCCCCGGTTTGCGGGGGGCAACGTTGAATCACTTGACTCTGCTGGACCTTAATTTCTAAGAGTTTGTTCAGTACTTTTTGATATTGAAATAAAGGACTGGAGACAAGACTGGAGGTTTTTTTTGTTTTGTTTTGTGTCGAGAAGCTTCAAGAGGAGAGCACAACTTATCTTCACGTCAAAATGAGACGGTGGACGCTAAAGCTGCGAGCACAAATTGTGTTTTTTATCCTCGTCACCTGCATTATCTGCCAGTGTGGACTAATAAACGGAGAAAGTGAGTATTGCTTTTATGTTTTATATTGTTTTTCCCAAGCAGAGCTTCTGTGTGATAGTCGTAGCGCGTATTTTTACTCTTTTCCTGGCTGGGCATGCAGAAAAAAATAACAGTTTTAGCCATTTTTAAAATTGTTTAATGCTTAAATAATACAGTGGATGTTACATTTACATTTGTGTGACATTAGTGTATCATTATAGGAGGATAAACTGCTATAAAGTGTGATAAAAACAACATAAACACACCACAAAACTCCATAGAGACACATTCAGTTACAATAGAGATATTATTGTTTGGTTATTATTAAAAAAATAAATATGTTTGGCATATAAATACACGGTTTTGCTCCCTGGTGAAAGCTTACAGTGCTTCCGACTGTGTTATTGTCTTAATTTTATCAATTAGGATGGTAATTTCAGTCACGAGACTCTCGCCTGCGCTCTGGCGCATGCGTAAAGTTTGGCACAGCGTCTAATTAAGGGGGCTAGTAATTTCAGTTGTTGCGTACGCGTAGCCGCGCGCTAATAATTGATATTCTTGCGTAAATTTATTGAGTAATATCCCCGCCCCCCTCGCACCGTCTCTTAAAGGTGCATAAAAGTAGCGGCCTGTGTTGGATGCGCCAGCCCCAGGGCCGGATTAGTCGCTGTAACTGGACGAGTGTGGTCTGCTGCAGCGAGTCTAAACTGGGAGTAGCAGGATTGGCCCTGTGAGCGCAGCTAGGCCTCTCATGGCGACAGACACACACACACCAAAAACAACGCACACACACACAGGGTGCTGCTGCAGCCTGAACGTAAACAAATTAGCCGCCGACGCTAAGAAGTCTCTTTATAGGTGGTGGATTAGCCTACATTGCTCTTTAGCAGATCGCACCAAAGTATGGGCGTCTTCCTTCCTCGCCGGAGGATGTCTTTTCTGTGGTGTTTCCTTTTCTTTCTTTAAATCAATGAATTGGGGAAGTGATTGTAATAATATGACAGCGCGTATTATAAACAGTGACGTGATGCTTTGCTAGAGATGAAGCAGGAGGTAATGATCCCGCTGTAATGACCTCGCCTTAATAATCATATCAGAGGAGTGATAATTTGAAATATGGTGTTTTCAGTCGGAGCGATCATTGTTGGCTGCTGTTGCAATAAAGCAGTCATATAATGGTGGAAAGTAATCACCTTTATTGGCCAAGTATGTGCACACACACAAGGAGTCCTTAGACACAAATAGACTAAACGTAACAAATGTATTCTGACAAGTTAATCTAAAGTCTAAAAGTTCTCACTGGGATTAACATGATATTTAACATTTAAATAAGAAACATCACATTGACCAAAGTTACAGAAATACACATACTTGACTCATAAATTAATTTCCCAGTTGTACAATTGACTGCATTATATATTCAAGCTCTTAACATTGTTAAAAGTATAATTTAACAGCAGGAGATGACTGAATGAGAGAAGAAAAGATTATTACTTAAAGCAGATAATACTTGTGACCATGTGGTGATTCACCGCTGTTGTCTCAGTTTGAATGAATGAATGTCACAGTGGAAAACATATTCACTGTAGATAAAGAGCAGCTGGAATACAAGTGAAATTAATTAATGCACATTTAACTTGTTTATCAGTGCTTTAACCTTCGGCCTACATTAACACTTTTGAGATTTGTGTGGAGTTCTTAGATGATGTGTTGCACAAGTCCACAAAGTGTTTTCAGCGCATGAAGCTAACACATGTGAGTTGAGCAAATGAGCCAGAAAATTTGGGCAACAGTGCACCTTAATTAGACTATTAATAAAATAGTGTTGTCTTTAATTAAGCAATGTTGTGGCTCTTGAAACTTTGAGTTATATCACTTAAAATGGCTCCCAGTGGCCAGCTTCAAAGGAAATGTTCTGGCTACTTTACACAGGTCATGTATGCAGACAGAACAGAGGCCCCTGAAAAGGGGTCTTATGAGACAGGGCTGCTGGTACCCCTCCTTCCTCCTCTTTCTTCGTTCATTCTCTCTCTCTCTCTCTCTCTCTCTCTCTCTCTCTCTCTCTCTCTCTCTCTCAGGGAGTGGGGTTCATGTGATTGGCTGCTTCTGGTTCCTGATTTACTCAATTCTCTGGGAAGTGACCATTTTTGGCACTCTTGAGATATTTACGCCTGGGGGGGTGGAGTGGGAGGGGGGGTTTGGGGCAACAACCAAAATACTTAGAATACTTTAATTCTGAATGTGCACATCTCCACCTCAGTCATGGGAAAGAGGAAGCTGTATTGATATGTAAACCATGCTGTGGTTGTGATCGGCTGAGCGCTCTCTGGAGAATGTACCAAAGCATTTGTGTTGACTCTGATTGGGCTGTTTGTCATAGTTATCAGTAGTTTTCTGAAGTAACCGCTGAGCTGTCTCCTGGTCTAAATCGCGAAAAACAAGTTGTGCAACTGGGAGCCTTGCCCCCTTCTTGTTCCTCTCAGGCTTGTGAGCACAGCTCTGTTGGAAAGGGGTAGTGTGCTGCATGTGTGTATGCATGTGTTGTTATGTATGCTTCCACAGCCTGTATGCTTCTTAAACCAAGTCTACAACACAGAGTGCAAAACCTGAAGTATCTCCCACCCTGATGATCTGAATCTGAAGTGTCCAAAGCAGTCTCATTTATTCATGAACTTCAGTTGAATAGTTAATCCAACTCTGCCGGTAGAGTAACATGTTGATTCGTAAAATTAGGACGACTAGAGATGCCCCCTGTTTGTGTGTGAGTTTGTCTGTAGCCCATTTGGATACTCAGGCACTCTTTACTGGAGTGCACAGTGGCATTTTCCGACAATGCTGTGCATGCTGTGGAATGTGTTTGAAGTGGCCCACCATGTAGGTGCCTGTGCATGTGTCTGTGTGTGTGTGTATGTATATCAGTATGCTCCCCAGACACCCTGTGCTGTCTGCAGGATCTCATCTCTCAGCTCCTGACCTGCCCACTTCCGGGAAATGTATGTTTTTTGTGTATCTGTGTGTGTGTATTTGTGTATGTCCGGAGGAGGTGGTCATGCATGAGAACAGTGTGTACCAGAGCGGCAGGCTCAAAAGTGGGCTGCCTGTTAGCACTAGCCCCTGCGCCCTGAGTGGCCCCCTTGACCCACCAAACATCCAATTCATCAAATGGACAGATTGCGTGATGCTTTTTGTGATGAAATAAGACAGCATTAGCATTAATGGATGAAAAGGTGTGCGGTACATAAAAACAATGAATGAGGTGAAGGCAAAGAATGTCACATTGTAAAGCAGTAAACAGTGAAGTTAGTAGGGATCGGATCGGGTATCGGCGCCGATCACGTTATTTTTACAAGATCCGAATCGGTAATAAAAGATTGGAGGAATCTAGGTAGCATAAAGATATTAATGCACCTGTTGCTGATAAGAAGCTGTTATCAGTGAATCCATTTGAATTTTACTCACCATTTCAAACATAAATGAGTTTAAAGTAATTACCTATTACTGTATTTGTGTTGTCAACTGTTGCATTTCGTTCTCATACATTGCTATCAGACTTTACTGTAAGTTTAATGGGCCACAAACAGAATCCTGTCTTTCACAATGAAGCCATATCGCTGGTCGTCGATTGCCATTGTACGTTTGGGTTGTCCATGTTCACAGAGCCTGCAGACAATGGGGGTCATGAACTGAGGACTCCACCAGCTGCGTTTTGAGCGTTGGCCAGGAAGGCAATATGCACTGCAAAAGGAAATTAACTGTTGGGGTGCCTTTCCTAAGTGCTTCCTCCTCTGCTCTTATCTTTCCAAGTATCCCTTACAACCACTCCTTACTTGCCAATACATTTTTTTTATTTGTGTGTGTGTGTGTGTGTGTGTGTGTGTTCCTGGCAGTCTTTTCCAACAGCAACACAAGTGGAGGATGAAAAACATAACCTGACCTTTTGACTCCCACAATTCACAAGCAAATACATTCAAGTGTGATTGCTGGTGTTTTTTAGTTTTGCCTGCTTTCAACAGACACTTCAATGCAACATTAACATTGTTTGCATTTCATAATTGATTGTAAAGGCTGAGAGGGTTATTTGAATTCAGCCTTTGGAAAGCAGAGACAATAATTATGAATCGCAGTGTTCTCATCGGTCTTTGTTAGGGCTTAGAGAGCATGCTCAAGATGTGAAGTCTATCTGTTCGGCATAATGTGTAGGCATGCTGAGAGTTGGGCCATTGTGTCTGGCTTTGATAACTTTTTATCAGTTTTTTAGCCACATATTACCTCTTTCTTCAGGGCTCAGCGTTACTGTTTCTTTTTTTTTCACTTGCCTGGTTGGGCAAGTGGGTTAGAAATGTACTTACTCAAAGGCAGTTTGTATTTGACCCTGTACAAATTGTTTCATTTATTAGTAGTTATCAATAACAACAACAACAACAACAACTCAGGGGTTGTCGGCAGCATTCATAGCTGCCATGCGAGTGAGATGCCGTTGGCTCTTGTTGCACCACTCCAGCAATGTTTTTCAGAAACTTGACCTGCAATTGAAGAAAAAAACAAAAACAAATTAAAATGCTCACTTGCACTTCAACTCACAAATTTAGTCTTTACCTGCTTCCATTTTCACTTTTCCATTTGTTCGATTGGTAATGCGCAAATGCATTTTGTGAAAGAGATGAGATGGAAGCAAGATGGCTTACTCCTTAGCTACTTCCATCATCAACTCCATTAAAAAACAGTGTGTTTAATTAGTTTGAGGGCAAGTGAGTTGCTCTGAGTTGCTGGATTTACTAGCACAGTGTGGCATTTTACTCGTCCCGGGCACTTGGGCAGTTCTTATTGTTGAGGTATGTATTTGATTTCAAGTCTACAAAGAAGTTCATTCAAAGTTAAGTCAGAGCATCCTTTATATTGGAAGGTGCAAGGACACAAATGTAAGGGGGAATCTGTGGCCATCAGTTTCAATGTAGACTTTTATTAGAAATTACTTTTTTCATTTAGTTTTTCTTATTGAATGTCTCTTTAATACTACACAA